GTTTCTCGTGCCCTGCTCTCAGGTACGTGTCCCCTGCCCTTTACCTGGGGTCCTGCCAGCACAGGAGCAGAGCAAAGGCCACTCTTGCCTTACTTGGTTTGCCCCGCAACCCTTTTAATCCACAGTGTGGTTCTTGAACCTCCTTCTCTTGGCTTTGCTAGGCTTTCCAGGGCTGTCTACAGTTGCTAAGCAGTAATTTAGCATGACTAAAAAATAAAACCATGACTGCTAGGTTCATGAAGTATTTTTTTCCCTTATTGTAATATAATTATAAACATAATAAAAAACATTGCAGAACATTAATCAACAGGGAAAAATCAGGGCAGGAACAGGGCAAGTATATGCCTTTTAGAAGCCTTTACTTCTTCCTTTGCTATTGGAGGGGACAGAGCAGGAAAAGTTTGGTATTGCATAAAATCATAAATAATGGGCTTTTCCATCCTGTCAGCTAATCTGGCATAAACAGAAGTTTGCATTCTTGTTTCAGAAGGCAGCTTGCTTGCCTCATCACAGAGCTCTTCTAAATCCTCATCAGAGGCTCCCTATGGGGAGGATGATGCACCCTCCAGCAGTGAGCTGGAGGCAGCCAGAGCCCCCAGCTGGGAAGAAGCCCTGTGCCCAGGCCACAACGGTGGGAGCACACACGCTGCTTTCCCGAGGGGTGGATGTGCCCTGAAGGCCGTGCAGAGTGGGTTTGACAGGCTGTGCTTGTGTTGAGCTGCCCCACATCACTCCCTGTCTGCTGGAAAGGAGACCTGGACCATGGGCACTGGGCCCAGCCTGCCTCCAGCTGGGATATCTTTCCCACGGAGGCATAGAGGTCTGGTCCAGCAGATAAGAGGTTAAGTCACCTGGTGCTAAACTGCTAGGTTAATTTTCCTGAAATTGCCACAAGATGTTTTCCCTTTTCATCCTAAAGCTCCTAATTGTGCCCCCAAGCACTGCCCTAAATATCTTCTTTCCCCAAAAGTTCTGATATTTAATGTTTACTAGATATACTTTTATAGCAGTTGTTCACTACCAACACATTTATTCATACTTTTGCCTTCATTTTTCCTCAATGAAGATTTGCTTTCCCTCATACTCTGTGCATGTTTCTTGACCAACTTGCACATCTTTCAAATATTCCTCATTTCTTCCTTAGAAGTCTGAGGAAGGAGTTTTTCTCAGTTTGATCGCTTCTTTCCTATCTTTTTGACTGTGCCCCACTGTCTTTTGATAAGATGTTGGCAGTGAGGTGGCTTTAGTCTTTGCCCAGACACACATTGTACTGTAGAAATGTACCTTGCTGCACTGGAGACAACATGGTCAACTCCTGAACTACAGACAACATGCATGGATCACAGGAATCAGTTGCTTCAGAGAACAAATCAACTTAGTGATACCCTAAGATACTTATAGATCCAAGTTATTTATGGCATTGTCATTTAACTAATACAAATACTAAAACTAGTAGTTTTCTGTGATTAATTAAAAATCTGAATGTAACTTAAATAATGTAATGACTTATATGCCCATGCAAAGTATCTTCCTGGTTAGCAAAAAGATGTGTCAAATTCAGTGCAAAGACAACATTTATTTCTGTGCTACCTGCTTTAGTGGTTACCACTCAGGAAAGAGCAGAGATTCATTAGCCTAGTAAAAAACCCCAAATTTAAAACACACACTTTGCCTACACACTTAATGAAAAATCACAATGAAATTAAAGAGATTAAAAACAACAGGCACTAGATACAGATTTCAGGGATTCAAAGCCAAGCAAGTATTTCATTGACTACTGGGGTCCTCCATCCCACATTCCTGTCCCCAACACGACACACAACTTGCAAACTTGACTTCAAGACAGGTGCTCTGCAGGGAGCAGTTCTGTCCCACAGCATGTGGGCAGAGTGGTTAGCAAGTAATGTCAGACTTAGGCATTTGAGTATTATTTGGAGTTACACATATTCTAAAGTTTTATCAGTACCTGAAACATATTCTGAGGTTTTATCATTACCTGACATGCCGTGTCCTTCATATCTCATCAGAATGTGAGACTTGAGGAAAATGAAGTGTGCTTGTTACAGCAGGGACTTCACTGCCTGACTCCTGGGCTCCCATACCTGGCAACTGCAGTAACTCCTCACCAGGGAGCTCTTTGGGGGTCAAGGGGAAGGGTGTTTTGGGGTTTTTTTGTTTGCTTGGCTTTTTTTTTTCTTTTTAGTTTGTAAGCAAACTGACTGCTCTTCTCTCCACAGAGGGTCTCCATTTAGGTTTTCTATGATCATGATAACTTGTTGAATTCTGGTGGGAAAAAAAAGGCATCTGCCCCTAGCAGGAGCACTGCTTGGTAGTAGCTAACAAACCTTGTTTGTCCTTCATGGAGCTGGAGAGGTTGACTATCCTGAGAGTGAACCTAAGCTATTTTGGGTGTCTTTTCTCTGATGCTGACCCAGCTTCTCACCTACCATTGCTGCTTCTAAAGACAGTCAAAAGTATCTGCAAAGTGAGAGAAGCAGCCATGACTGCCAGCAGCACCCACCTGCTGCTGCCCCAAGATGGAGGAGCTGGATATTTCACACAAGAAGAAAATATAATTATCCTCATTACTCCTACTTGCTAGACGCTATACCCTTTAGAAATGAGACTTAACTACCTGGTGCAGGTTTGCTTGCACAGCAATGGGGAACAACAGATGTCTTTTTCTCAGTTAAGCCTGGTGCTCCTCTGGTCCCCAGGGCTGCCAAAGGACACGGGGTGCCTCCAGAGCTGCTGAGGCACAGCCATGCCCCACATCATCTGCAGAGCTAGCAAAGAAAAGGATGCTTTTGCAATGACCAGCTGCAGCAGCCTCAGCTGGCAGGGACAAGTAATGCAAACACCACAGTGCAACAAGTGGATCAAAGGAGCATAGGCAAAACCTTGCCAGCATTATTTAGGAAAAAAGTAATCTTGTCTCCCTGGTCACAGACCCGATGGTGTGGGAGTGCTGCCACACCAAGGAGCTGAGAGCTGATTGGAGTGATCAGACATTGCAAAGGGCCAGCTGCACCAAGAGGTGCCCTGGGAGGGATGGACAGTCCACAGGGCCACCAGGGAACCCAGGAGTGAGGAAATGCCTCACATGCTGTGGAGGCAGCAGGGGAAATGCAGTGTTAAGGAGCTGGCTTGGAAAGCAGATAGTGGTGAGCATATGTGGCTGCTGGAGAGTGCAAGGCAGATGTGACAGGGGAACATATGGGCTGTTGCTCTTGGGCTGGGAGGGCAAGGCTGTGGTCAGAGACATGGTTTTCCAGCTGTGTCAGTTCATTGGAATAAATAAAGTGATAATGTGTACTAATTAATACAGGAAGTACAGAAACATCAAGTCACTTTTAGTACTACAGAAGATTAAAAAAAAATAAAAATGCAAAAGAACCATACTTTAGATTCTTCCCAAACCTCTCCCTGCTCTGCCTCTCCACCAGCCCCTAGCACTCCCCAGCACAAAGCTCCCCACAGGCTTACCAGCATGCACCCCCAGCTTCACCCCTTCCTTCCTGAGATTCTTCATTCCCCACTGCCAGGGGGGCTGCAGGAGAGCTGCCTTCTCCCCTCTGCTCTCATGCAAAGAAACGTGAGCAGTACAGAGAGGCACCTTTCTACCCACAGGGAGTACAGCTGCTTGCAATTGCCAGGGGATTGATCATTCCTCCTCCTCCGGATGGTGTTGGCTGCCTGAGAGGAGGAAAAGGGCAAAACCTCCAACCTGCCTCAGCTGGCTGCTCTCCTCTGGGGCAGGCACACAACCAAACTGAAGCAATCCCTACTTCTAGGATTATTTTTTTCTTCCCTGCAGGTACCACACTCACTTTCTCCCTTTTGCCTTTTATCCTCAGCCCTTCAAGCTGGGACTTTTGCCAGTCCCTGTTCCCCAAGGGCAGCTGCACCACTTCTCTGGGATGTGCTATTTTACTCTCGCAACTTTTCCATCTCCCTTTATCCCAGCTCCCACACTTGGTCTTGTGCTACAGGGTTCTGCTTTCCTTGGTATTAGACTTTTCCACTGTTCATCAAAATAATTAGGCTCCAAAGCATTCCTCAAATGTTTTCAGTTGAATCAATTTGCCACTGATCCTCTCTGATGTTCTTTTCCATGCACGAGGCAATGATGAACAAGAGCCAGGTGGGTGATGTGGAGACTTGGTTCCCTGCCACTACTGGTGGCAGCAGTGCCACCAGAAACCCCAACAGAAGGGGATCATTTAGAGGTAGGAGGATTACAGCACAGAAAACTCAAACACCACCACATCAAACTCACTGGAAATAAATTTGTTTTGGTCATAAATTGTAGAAATGGATAAATTAACACTTGTAAGGACTGCAAACCATCCCAGTGTGAAGCTCCATGTGTACCCATCCAAGCTTAGCTCCTTCTCTGGGGAGGATGTTCCTGCCAGCCTAGGAAGCACTCCTGGGAACAGACTATCCACAGATGAAGCGTCTCCATCATGGGGGCTGCAGCAAGGCTGGTGGCAAGTGATTTTTTTAAGCATTGCTCCATCAAAGAGAACACAGAAATTGTATACAAGTTTTTGTCATCTTCCTCTCACACGAAAGAAACGTGCTTGCAGGAGGGCAGCCAAAGCACCTGCACCAGCGCTGAACAACTTAAGTGCAAAGCAGGAGTTTGGTGATGTATTTGCAGTCAAAATTCGGAGGTGTTTCCATCTACTCTGGGCAGCTACAACTGTGTGCATATAGGTAATTGTAACAATATATATATACAATATGAAGTAGATGGCTCAAAAATTAGGGACAGCTTGGACAACAAAGAAATTTTCAAACTAAAAGTAATTTTTGAGATCTTAGCAAAGTGTCAGGCTCCAAAGTATTTGGATGATAATGGTCTTAATAAAATCAGTAAAATTAATAAAATCACTTCTTTTGAGTCACAAGTTGTTCAGGTTAAAGTGCCAATGTAAAAAATGGAACAAACAGTATTTTTTAAACATTTGTTAAGTAAAAAAAATAGCTTAATATTAGAGTTCTAAAAGCAAAATTTAATAAATTAATAAATGCATGCCAGATAAAAATACAAAAGTACAATTGAAATAGCAATAATAATAATAAAGGAACACTGCTCAGCATTGCAGATTCCACTGCAATCACCATAAACATCATGGAGAATTTCTTAAAGTAACATTTAAAATACACATTTTGTTTCTGTTAAAAATGAATTCCTATATGATGAAAAAAACTGAAAGAAACCCAAGAAGAAATCAGCCCCCAAAGTAGCAGAGAATGATATGAAATGTCAGTAAACTGCCAGAGGCTCTTTTTCACGTAAGTTGGCCTTCTTTTTTAGTATCAGAAACCAATTACATAGAACATAAAAGCAAATTCACAACAGGTTTACACGGAGAAACATGCTGAATTACAATCACAAACTATCCAGAACAAAGATGCTGCATCAGTTCAGTTGTCTTCTTTATGGAATGAGTCTCACCAGAACAGGGAGAACAGGGAGCAAATCATGCAATAGTTTTAACCTTTTTGTTTATTATTTTAACATGATAAACACCCAGGATTACTAGTACTGGAAAGTATGTGTTAACCTTTTTCAACATCAGCTGAATGGCACTATAGAAATGACAAAGAGCTCCTTCATTTTTTATCCTGAATACATCGAAAGCTCTAGCAAATATGGAATTCAGCGACAACAGCCATTAAATTACTTTAAAATATTCCTTCATTCACAGAACACTGTTGCTTCCTTTTTTTTAATTACAAAACCCCTAAAATATTCAAAATAAAATGTCTTCATTTTTTATAAGCATCTCCACCACAAGTCTCTGATAACGGATGTCGTTCAACGCAGCCATCGCATCCAGCTCCGGTGCTCTCATAAGAGTTGGTCCAAAGACAATGCCCAGATTCTCTGCACTCATCAGATTTTCCTTTTCATGGAGCGTTACTCTGTAAAAAAAGGACAGTGTTTCTCACATTCCTTCTGTGTCAAACAATTCCCGTATATGCACGAAAACCAGGGAAACTGGACAGAAATGTTTGCCTTTCCCCCCAAGCCTAGGAGAAGCCGCTGTTTCCAGCAGGATAGATATGGAGGCTTTGGGTGAAACACTCAGAGGTTAGTGAGCACAAATGCTGTGGGGGTTAGTGGTGAGTCAGATGTCTCTGTCCTGTTCCCACACACACAGACCGTGTTTACTCGCCGGAAGGGTCAGTGCTCCTCGGCGAGGGAGGGGTCTGAGGGGTGAATTCAGATGAGTCAGAACTGATTCTGCTTCTGCTCTTTACAGTGACACCATTCGGAGGCCATTGCCATGGGGAGCAGATGGTGTTTGTTATATTAGCAGTTTTATTGTCATGAGAGCCACGCTATTGTGCCCACGCAGGTGGGATTCTGCCCAGACCCCTGGTGGCACAGCTCCAGGTGGTCACACTGCTCCTTTCTTGTGCGTGCAACAGTAAAGGGGTGAAGCACAAAATGGGAATTCCCTGCCTTCAGGCACTACAGCCATGCTAAGCTGGATGCCTGGTTCCTCTTCAAGACAAACTATGTCCTGTGGTGTGTACTAAAAAAAAGTGAAATCATCACTCTGGGGGGGCTTTGAAACCACCAGGGTCTCACTGTAAGCTCATGCAGAGAGCAGACTGAGCAGGTCATTAAACCTGTGCTCTGACAGGCCCACATGCACCTTCCCTCTCTGGGGGTCCCTAGCAGCTGCCAGACAGTGGAGCCCCCAGCTCAAGGAAGCCTCTGGCGCCTGGTTCCCATCTTCAGGAGAGGAGGAGACAGGGAAGCCACGTTCTGCTGCTCCACAGGAACCTGCCCCGTGCAAAGCTGTGGGCTGAGGCCCTGCTGCTGGGCAGGTGTGCAGGCCACAGGAAAGTAATTTGCCCAAGAATTGCACCTACAGGAGATGCATCCTCTGCCAGGGCTACTGCAGAAACACATTTGCTCAGTAAATGCCGGAAGGGTGCTTGCTGCCAACCATGGTGGTCTCAGGGGCCATGGGATGGTATTTCTTATTCAGAGGCAGCTTGTGCTCTCCTGGGCTGCTCTGCCTCTGCATGGAGAATGTAGGGTCTGGCATGGAGGGTGGGAGCAGGACATCCTGGCTGGGGTACCCTGATGCCTATCACTACTGCCCACTGCAACAGGCACAGAGGCAAAAATATGCCCTGAAGCCTGAGTTTCTGCCTTGTTTATCCTGGTGAATTGCCTCACTGAAGGAAACACTATGGTTTAAAGAATCCAGAAGGATTCTCAGAAACAACAAAGTATCTAGGGACAGCACCAGAGTCTGTCTAAATTATTTCTTTTTTTTCACTACTGTGGCGTCTTACATTGCACAAACAAATCCTTTGATATAAAAAAAAATTAAAAATTCTATATTTTTCTTCCTTTTTCTCACTTCTGCCTTAATTTTTATCTTAAAACAAGTCACACTGATGTTTCCACACTGCTGTGTCTTCAGTCTATAATTTTTCCAGAAAAAGAAACTGTGTCTGACTACAAGAATTCAGCAGCAAAACTACAGCCTGTTGAACCCCACAGCTCTTTTTCTCAAATGTATCAGAAGGAAATTTAAAAACGAGTGAATTTTGTCACCCTTCTACCTTATCATACACCTATACCAAAAATACCATGTGCAAAAGCAATTTGCTAACTAGAGCAGCAACAGCTACTCATGAACAGGGTAAGGAATAATTAACTTCACAAACAGTAAGGTGTTTTTTTGTTCCCATGTCTCTTATCCCTGTGTCTGTTCTAAAACATCCATTAGAAATGTCATTGAAAGAAATGGACAAATCAGGCAGAAACCCTGTAGTTGAATTTTGCCTGAGGCACTCAGCAGTGTCAACATGTTCCTACTTGTAGAAGAACTATAAAAGAAAAAAAGCAGAAGAGAGCTTACAATATTTTTCTAAGGAAAGGGAATGATTCTTAAATATTGACAATAAATTCATGTTACTTGAGAAACTAAAATTGATACCCTAACATGATACATTGATTCTTTCCTTACTTCCCTAAAAGAAACAGAACCCCTGCTGTTGCACTGGATATTTATCTGTCAGTCTCTCTTCAACAATTTTTCAGCCTACTGATCAACTTCAATCATGTCTTGGGGAGCAGGAGAAACCTCAGACAGATTTTATGCTCCTACAGTTCTGAGAATGCAGCAGGTGGAACGAGGGGCTCCACACTGATGAGGAATGGTTGGCAGACCTCACCAGACACATGGCTGGAAGGCCAATTAACACTGTGCCTAAAATCAGTGTCAGCTCCAGCCTAGCACCTGCCATCTTTTTAAGGGAGTCAGGGATGACCAGGGTAGATGAGACTTAGCAGAAAAAGACACCTGTCTATAGCCAATTAGATGTATTAGTTCTTTGCCCAGGCAGTGACTTACTAATCCCAGAAGTACAAATGACTTTTTTACCATATTCACTATAACCTTAAACATAGAGCAAATTTCTTAGGCAGATAATTCTTGTGCTTCAAAACTGTGGGGTCTTTTACTTATTCCCTTTAAGTGCTTTGCAAGTGCTTTCAGTCAGATAAACCCCAGGATTTGGTAGGCCTTGCCTACGTGGCCTTTGCTAAAAATTAGTTTGGCTGAGAGTTCCTTCCAGCCAGTCCACCTACCTCTTGAGATGTGCCATGAGGTACCGCAACGTTTCACAGTGCGCAGGCGGCAGCAGTTTCAGCGCCTCATGGAGAATTTCCAGCTGTTCATCCGGGTCGGTGGTTTCTGGAACACAGATGTTCAACCGTTACCACACGTACAGCCAGAATCCACACACACTATCCGCTGGTTTACTGATTTCCAAAATCTGTCCAAACCTCAGAGTGGAAGATTTGCCTGTCCCAAGAGGTGCTCTGAGCACCATCAGTGTGTGACTGGGTTTGGACAAAGAAAACTCCCCAAAGCAAATTGAACTCCACTGAAAGATTCCCTGAAGCCTACTAAAAAAAATTCCCCTGGCAATCCTCACTGACTGGACTAGTTTTGCACAAATAATGTACAGGTGCAACTCTGGGACAGCAGAAAGTACTGGGAACTTTGCCATAGGCGTCCTTGGCTGTGTCCATACTACTTGGAAAGAGCCTTCTCCAGAGAAGCTGTAAGGCCAGCATCCAGCCCTTGTTTTCTACCCAGAGCTACCTCACACCTTTCCAGGTGTGGCTGCTGTGACTGCTACATTGCAGAGAAGCTTCAGGCAGCCAGGATGTGTGGGAGAGATGTGCCAGCTGGGCTGACTGCAGCGTTTGCAGACTCACTCTCTGCAAGGCCAGCCTTGAAGGTGGCTTTAGGATGTGTGCTTATCAGCTTTCAAAAATGCTCAAAATGGACACCTCTAGAGGCTAATGACTTTATATCTTATATATAAACATCTTCACAAATCACCTTTTTTTGGGCAGCATAAAACCAACAGACTTAAAATGTCATTGTCTAATACCAGGGGTTCATGCAAGACACACAAAATGATGCAATCCACAAGGTATGATGAAAAGGAAGTGTTCCTGGTGACAAAGGTTAAGAAAAATGTAACCACGATCACACAGCACCACATGGCCATGTAGTAATGTGCAGTGCACGTTCACTCCTGCAATCCTTACTAAATAGGGCATGCAGGGTAAGAGCTGATGGGGCAGAATAAAAACCAGGAGGAAATTGTGTTGCACTTACTTGCAGACTCTATAAACTTTGGGTAGGCATCATATGTGATGAGTGGAATTGGCAAATCCCTGAAGTACAGTTTAAGTGCACCAGTGATAATATTGATATCTTCATACATATTCACAGAAATATCAGCTTTTTCCCCATCTGTGTGGAGAAGGCACTGACATTAAAGCCTTGGAAATGTAAACAGATGTAAAAGAGCATTCAAAAGAAAAACAGTAACTTACTTAAGTAAACATTATTAAAAAGGACAGAACTACAGATTTTGGCTTTTATAAGCAAAATAGAGAGGTACTGGGCGATGAAATTCATAATTTCAGGGTCAAAACCTCAAGCATTTTAGAAAGAAACCTATCCTTTCTTCATATTAAATTGATTACAAAAAAATGCACGTTTTTTGTTTTTTTTTTTTTTTTTGTAAAAAACCTGCCTGCCTGATCTAGCGGTATCTATCTTGTAGAAATGTGTGGAAGTTTAGCTATTTCTGAACATATTGCGATGCCAAACAACACATTTTTCAGCACTGAATGAGAAATCAGGGGAGCCTGGGAAAAAAAGTGAAAGAAGGAAAACCAACTTAGTCCACAGCCTCCTAATTTTATAGGAAAAACATGTGTTCACCATTTAGCTACAGCATATTACCTACTCCTGACCACAGTGGACACAGATCCAGATTTTGACTTCTCCAGCACATCCCACCCTGTTAATGCTGCAGAGGAGGCAGATGTTGTTTGAATAGTTCAGGAGAAACAGGAGAGTTTCCAGCATGAATTTTGGCCTTGATTTCTACTGTGACAGGGGGGACTGCAGCTGGAAAGCCTTTAATTTCCCCACTGCCTTTTCTCAGAGAGAAAAGTTTGTTCTCACTGACCTTCTTTTCTACTGTAATAATTCTAACTTTGTCTGCAGCACTGTATTCCCCTTATTATTTTCGAGCTTTCATCCAGAAAGATGGATTTAAGTTGCACAACCATCTTGCAGCACTCGCCCTCTATCCCTTCCCCTGCCCCCAGCAGTTTTACTTGCAAACTAGGGCAGTAGTTCAGAAAGCTTTGTCCTTTCCTATGCACAGCATCACTGAAGCACAGATACTGATGGAAGGAGAAAAGTAGATGTTGGTAATAAAGGCCAAAGTGAAGCTGATAGGCTTTTCTGCCGGGGAGGTTCCCGTTCCGCGAGCGCTGCCGCCGGACGCCTCCAGCTCCCCGACGCAGCCAAGCATGAGACAGACAGAGGCTGTGCAGAAAAATGGTGTGTATTTAATAGATCAGCACAACGTTCCAGCATGCAGGGAAGCCTGTACCTCTGTCAAATGCCATTTTGACATCTTCAATAAGATCACTAAATCCTGAGACTCTGTATAGTCCTTCAGAATTAAGACCTGCAATGAACATTTTAACAAGATTTAAATTAGTCTTTAATTTTACAGTTTTCTTCCACCCAGTTCTTTCTTTGCCAAGTTCTTCATTTAAGGCAGAAAAAGCAGCTATGTTTTAAAAGCCTTATCAGGCTTTCTTTCAGAATGAAAATTTAACCTGGCCTTTTAACCCTGACCCTTGCATTAGCTCCCTTGTTACATCAGCACTAAATTATATTTAAGAAAATTACTTCAGAGCTGAAGGAACATATTAAACCAATTACAAACAATTTAAAAATTACCAAGATTAGCATACATGATGTTCAGTCATTATTTCAGAATGCAAACAAAGACTCTAATTCTAGAAAAAGATACTTAGTGTCTGCTAGGGGAACTAGCAAGAGGAAACATCAATATAAACTGCCTTTGTTTTAGCACATTCACTTAATTTTTAAAATAAAAATCTTACTGGAAAGATAGGTGCCAATATATAACTATAAAGCAGTAATTGTCCATTAAGCAATTTCTAGCAGAATCTATAAAAATTATAAATGGGTATGAACCATGAAAAAATGCAAGGTATAATATTAGGTGTGCAGAGTAATTGGCAGCCATAAAATGTCTTGCGCAAATCTGTTTTGAGCAATCAGACATTCAGCAGAAACCCAGATGACCCAGATCAATCTAAACGGATTATCAGTAAAGCAACAAAAGGCCATTAACTCCACCTTACCTCTAGATTCAATTTCCCTAATGCACATATCTACTACCATTGGTCTCTTAGTGAAGTGTGCTTTTACTAGTGTTGTAAGGTCACAGCTGTACACTTTCTTGACATGCTTCAGGTCTGGCTTGCAGTCATTTGGGACCATCTTGGAACACTGCTTGTGCACATTTAAACCACAATCTGAGAGAGAAATGAAAATACGATTACGCCAACGTTTGGTAAAAATGTTTCCTGAGGTCAGTACTGCAGAGCACACGTGGCTCCTGCAGGATCTGACCTGATCTTGCAACTACTACTTCCGTGAGACCTCTTTGCCATCAAATGTGTGAGGGAGGGACAGACCTCAAGCAGGACAGAATTTCTACCCAAGACATTTCTTCTACCCCTATAGGATTTAACACAAAGAGACAAATTTCCCATAGGGTTTTTCAAATCAGGATCTAAGGGTCAATTATGTTCCCCAGCACTACTACAAATGTTGCTATCACAACCTAAACTTTTTTCCCAAGTTGCTGTGGATTTCCTAACACAGCTTTAATGTAGTGCTTAACTGTGGCACTTAAGGACACCTCTTGGGGGAGATGAAGATAGGGACTGGGTCTCAGAAGACCACAACCCCTCTGCAACATGCATTGGGAAAGAAGCCCCAAGACCTGAACCACCCCAGTGACCCTTAAACACCTGGCAGGTATGACAGCCCACACTTGCTAAGACATGGTTGTCATTTTGTGCTGCGAGCCCCACGTTAGGCAAAGCCACACACCACCATACCCACCACCCTGCAAATAAGCAGTACCATCAGGGGTATGACAGGGGCCCACCCTGGCCAGCCTCATGGCTTGCCTGGACCCACAGCCCTCTTCTGGGCTTGCTCCAGAAGCTGCAGGTCCCAGCTGGTTCTCTTGAGCCCCAGATGCTGGCAGGCTCAACCACTGTCCCTCCAGGCACGGAGAACTTAAGTTTGGTCACCCTGGTTCCCTCAGTGTTTGCTCAGCTGCCTCGTTTGTGACAGAGAGGTAACCGTAACAGCCAAAGCACTTACTTTCACCCAAGCACTTATTTAAATTCTGCAATTAATCAAGCGCTCCAAGACCGTCACTGGAAGGCTCATGACCTCTTCATGCACAGCACTAACCCTAACCCCACTGGTGGTTCTGAGGTGTGAAGCGAAGAAACTCTCACCAGGCAGTGCAGGTGAAAGGAGCTCCACCCACGCTTTACAGACCTAACTTTGAAAACCAGGTCCCTCTGTGCTTTAAATAGGGAATCCAAACTAATTGGAAACGTGACCTGAACCTTTTAGTGACTCAGTGCTTCAGCTGTAATATGGGAAGGAGAAGCTGTTCTTGCCTCCTCTGGGTCTTCTAGAAACAAAATCATTAAATGTTTGTGGAAATGCAGAGGAAAAATGACTCATTTTCAGTGTAAGGTGTGAACACCGTGCCCTTAAGACCAGCACTTTTAGCCAAGAGGAAAAATGCCAACAAGTGCTAATAAGCAAGTACCATCCATTCTGCTTTCAGAATAAAGATGAAATTGCGGAGTAAAAAAAAGCAGTCAAATAATTAAGAGGAAATGTCTTAACACACACTGAGAAGGGAAACAAACTAAGAGCACATACAAAACCTTACTTCTTGATTTCCATTATTTTGAAACCTTAACTTTTCAATAATAGTATTTACAAATGTAAATATTATTATTCTATATAGAATGTGAAAAATTGCTGCAAGAAGCACCTATTCCAAAATGTGTGAAATGCTCTAGTATGTTTGTCAAAAATGATGCCTACTAGACTGGACTGGCAGCATCTCACTCATGAGGACTCATGGGTGATTCTTTGAGCACAAATTAGCTGCTTCACACAGACAGCAATATAGCTCAGAGTTATGTTTCCAGGAATCCAAGAATAATTAAGACTAAAATATATAAAAAAAGGAAAAAACATGCTTCCAAGTGTCTTGACTTAATTATCACATACACTGAGATCATCCTAATTGTATTTATATACAAGAAGGTTTAGTTTCTTTAAAACAGCTAATTTACGGAGGTGTTTTCAGTTTTAAATCCTTGCTTCTGAAAATAATTGTGTTATTGCTAATCCCATAGATTCAAATAGGCTTTGGATCTAACCTTATTAATACCAGAATAATAATTACAGATGCAAAAGTCAACTTTTCTCCTCTCTCGTTTGTTCTTCATTTGCATTTGATTAGATTTTCTATACCAGCCCACTGCTTAAGGGCTTACAAACACTCCTGAGAAACAGTGAAACCTAGAAATATTTCAGATACTTAATGCTGAGAAAATGCATGAGCACTACGTTCAGCATTACTGGGCTGTGCAGTATCCTTCTAATAATCAAGGCTCTGTGCCTCTCATGTAAGCATAGGAGGCCACCTTACTTGAGCCATTCTGCATCAGTAAACACTTCTAGGAGATTTCACGGAATTTTCAATAGAAAAATTGTATTGTTTTCTATTAAAGAGGCTGAAACTCACCAACATGGTGCTTCCTACCAGGTGGGCCCCTCTCCCCAGCTAAACAATACTTCACGAGAGACAGAAGAGCTATATCTCAGTCACTAGCCTCTGGTTCAGCTGGTAACTTAGGGGATGAAGGATGATGCCTTGTCAACTCCAACAAGTTAAAAAGCATAATGGCAGGAGGTCAGTCCCCTTCTCCACAGAGCACTGGGAACATGCCAGCCTCATAACTACACTTAGCCTGCTTGTTTTAGTGGTAAAAGGCAGGAATTGCATATTATTAAATAAAAACACCCCCTGCTCTCATTGCAGGTGCTTCATGAAAGCTTCAAATCCCTTTATTTCAGAATCAACTAGCAAGGAACAAGAAAGCCAAGGCATGAATCTCTCTGTGTGCTGCCATTTGGTGAAGGACCACTTGCCTTGTTCACATATGAGCTTCATCATTTGGCTTAATTTGTGCATTAAGACCAAGAGGATTAATTCAATTTCAAATGTAGGGTCTATTTACTTTTGGTTGTATCAAAATAAATCCAGAATAGCTAAGCCGGTATCAGCAGCTTTATTCCAGATCTAAATTAAGCAGGAGCCTTATCCATTTCTTACAGAAGTTCATCAGAGGTTACCTGCTGTCTGGATATATCAATTGGAGGGGAGCTAAAAGAAAAATCCCCCTAAAGCATCGTATCTGCTGATAAATCCTGTAATAATACAGGATATATTTAAAAGATGTAGTCATGAACCCCCATAGGTTAACAGTAAAACTTTTGCTGACTTCAGTTAATCAGAGTTTCAACTTATGCAGAGATGATTTCTCAGGACTAGAATTGTAAGTCATACTTACCATTCCTTTTTACAGTGCTATCAAACTGTGGCCATCTTTCACATATACCAAATATGAAAGAAAAAAAAATGCAGTAATAAATTCAAGAGTTTATAGGAAGTTTGGAAATTTATGAAAAAAAGAGAGTAATTTTAGCTGACAGGTTTAAAAGTCTGTGATAAGCTGCCTTGACTTTAATAGCATATTGATCTAGGAGTTCACATGGGCTGTGACATTATTTCTAAGAGAGGTGTTGAATTTAAAACTAGCCTGACAATACTTTCTTATGATGCCTAGAAGAAGGTTTGGTAATGTTTGAGAAACAGCTAATATTAGTCCATTGGGCTGAAAGAACAAATAACATGTTCATAGGAATGCATGAGCAGAGCCAAATGATGTACATGCATTAATAGCACCCCATGAGCACGCATGAAAAACATTTGCAGTGACTAAAATGTACTTAGCTGTCACTTTTTGTTACACTGCAGATTTGACTCTAGTCAGTTTAGATTTCCTTTGGCTTATGATCTACTGGCCAACATGGCTGCTGAGCATGCTCTGTTTGAACGATACCATATGCTGCCTTCGTCATTCTAATTACAGTTTTCAATTAACCCGAAGAAAATGTATGCATTTTGTCACGTGAAGGAACAGCTTTAAGAGTGAAAGGTAGATTTACATTGTCTGCAAAAAGTTCTCAAAGGCTCTTCAGAGGCTGATGGTAAATGTGGGAGGGCGAAAAGTGTGGAGTTGAGGTGTTGGCGCTTGGGTGGGTCCACTGTGGTACCCACCAGCCAAGGTAGCACCCTCACCTTTGGCAGCTGACGTGTGAAGATGACAGGTTCTACACAAGCACAAAATATCAGCATCATTACTTTTGCAAGGGTGAAAAGGTTAGAAATCAATCAATCATGAGCTAGTAGATTTCCTTTAATAATTTAATGCTCTTTTCTGTAGCAGAGAAAGCAATGTTTTCTGTTTCTCTGGATGCAGTGTGTGTGAACAAGCACATTAATGTAGCAACCCTGCTGGCCTTGTCTGCTGCACTTTGTGCTTCCAAGCACAAGGCAGGGCTTGCCATGAAGGTCTGCCCTGCTCCAGCCCAGGAGGCAACACTGGAACTGCTACATGGTTTTTCATACATGACATCTGTTAATGTGCAATGCACATCTGAAAGCAACCCTTGGTCCAACCAGAGCCTTAAGCTACCTTACGAAGCAGTGCCATGGCAAATGCACCTTCCAAACACACATGCATGCTCCCCCAAATCTGCCATCATCCATACTACTACATCATGCACTACAGGGTACAGTATTCTTTAGGAAGGAATTCCTAGAGGACAGCTAGTTACTTGGCAATAAACTTACCTGATACTACAGAAAAATCTTATGAATTAGAAAGAAAAAAATCCCTATCAAACAAGCCAATTCCCTCTTATCCCAAATTAAAAGAATACATATGCCTGTGCCTGCAAAAGCTGGCTGGAAAACACAGGTGAAATGTTCTTGCAGCAGAACAGGTTTGGTGGTGACAGCTAGATTTTATGGAAGTTATGAAAGATCACAGTTTGTTCAAAAACTTCCCTGGCTTCCTGCCACAGCACCTGCCTCCCTCCTCAACAACTCCCCTGATAGGCCACTGGCTTGCTCAAGGCTTCCAGGTCTGTGTGGGCTTAGAGATAAAGCTGCTTTTAGGACTTGCAGTTTCAATAATATATATAGCTCCAGAATAGCTTCCCCATGGGAACAGCTCTGAGGCAAGACTCCGCTGACTGATTAGCATTTCAAAATTCTGGAGCTCATTCCTTGCAGGAATACCACCAGATCCTGAACTGGTGGAACAGCCTGTTGGACAGCACAGATCTCCTCTAACAGCATCACCACCTGCCTGAGGTGGGCATGGACTGCTCTCCAAACAGTCCCCTTCCCATAGCACCGACCAGCTGTGCTTTGCTCTTGTTCCCTTTGTGGGCTGTCTGTGCCTTACATGCTCAGGGAAAAGAGCAGAATCAAGATGCCCATCTCAGAAGAAGCTTGGATGTGTTTTTAAGGTACAGGTGTGGGCAGAATAGGAGCTTATAGTGACCAAGGCATGCAGAATACCTTGACAGCGGGCAACAAGATGGGCATGCCTTGCCTTCTCTTTGCTGAGTTACTATCACAGAAGCATCAGCCATTCTTAAAAGCTCTAAAAGTGTGAGTACTGTGCCAGCACAACTAGTGCCTGAGGACAGGCAGTCTCCTTTGTGGTACCCTCGTCTTTACGCACCAGTGGAGCAACATAGGGCTATCCAGCATCAGGGATTTAATAGCAAGACAAACCAAAATAGCAAAGGAAGTGGGGCAGCTGTATGTTTTTCAGCTGCTAGAGAAGGCAACAGATGAACTGGGGAATTTAAACACTTAAACAGTAATTCACAGAACAACCCTGCTTTGAAACTGTACTTTAACTTTTCTGAAAATGGGCTCCTGGGGCTTCCTGCATTCAGGGCTGGCAACAACATTGCTTGGGCTCAGCCAGTGGCAGCTGGTTGCCTCCACACTGATGGTTCAGCTGCAAGTTTATTTCCATCAGTTCTGCAGACAGAAGTTACCTGCTCTGGGGAGAGCAAGAGAGGCAACATCTGCAACATGGGTGGCAGGCTGAGATAGTTCAGAGCAGATCTAGCAAGGCAGCAGAAATGGTGCTTCATGCAAAACCTCAGAGGATGCTGCTGCCTGGTGCTAAAAGGAGCAGCCCAAAACACTCTCCAAAGCATCCAGTGAAAAAAGAGGCATCCAGTGAAACAAGGCCAAAGGTACACAGAAGGGAGAATATCATAAAGTAATTTAAAGATTTCTGATAGGCTGGAGAAGTAGAAAGGACACAGAAGCTTCGTAAGTCTACTTGTCTACAAGTCTACTCATGTAGTACACTAACAACATCATTAATGCCACACTCTAGTCTCCAAGAACACAAACTATCCTCCATTAATGCTACTGGGTGTTACATGTTTGTATCATTCATAAAATAAAGTCCCTAGCACATGTCTGCAGATTTTCTTTGGATATTGTTGCAGTTTCTCTCCTGAACACATTCTGGGCAATGGGATGAGCCCTACGAGCACAGAGGAGCCTTTCTTAGGAGGAAAGTAATAAAGAATATGCTTTTTTCAGTTAATGTACTGGATTCTGAGCTGGGCTAAACACATCTTCATTAGCTTCTGCTGAGTTTCAATGTTTACATAAACTGGTGGCATTATAATTTCAAACACTTCTTCAGTAATTTCTACTTATGGCACAAAAGCCTGCAGGAAAACACACTGGAGACAGAGCACGCCATCAGAAAAGGCAGATTCCCTGCATACAGATAAGTCTTCATCTCACAAAAATTTTAAGAGCCTGTGGCTAGGAAGGCCTTCCTTTGTGGAAGGAAAATATGTGCTCCTCTTTCTTTGTCTGCCATAAAACCCAAACAAGGATAACCTAGGGAGAATCCATCTTCCAGGCGTTAATCATACAGGACTGTGCCCAGCAAGATACTGACCTCAGTCAAGGCTGTATTTTGGCAGGGAGGGACATGTTCAGTCCTGCAAAAAAGCACGAGTCAAGGCAGTTCACGTTGCTAAGACATCCTTATTGGTTGCCACGGTATGGGTACTGTTACAAATGCTTAGTTCTGGTTTATTATTTTTCAAAGGATTGGTTTGTGTAACATAAACTAATCTATCAGTCATTAAAAATAAGCTCTGCTTTTTCCTTGGGCTCCTCCTCCTTTCTGAAATGGGTGACATCTTTTAAACTTATCACTTCTGTACAGTAAATGGAGTCCTCTGGAGATGTGCAACTGCTTGCCATAAAGAGCAAATGTTTTAAGAAGTATAAAATCACACATGATCAGTGCAGTTTTGCCCATAGGTATTTTCAATAAAATGATTATGCAGACCACCAAACAGATTTTGTGGATTTCCCTGGAGTGGCATTGAACCCCATTTGAATGCAAGTGGGCTGCCT